GGATGGACTTGCTTTGATGATTAGAATGGTGGAAAACTTGACAGAGCCTTGAAAAAGTGCTTGCATGTTTCTGTCTCTTCTCTGCTTCCTCTAAATTGCTGCAAGAAATGTCTGGGCAGGTCTGAGAACACACCCAGGAGCGCCTGCTGGGGGACAAAAGTGACATTATCCCCAGCAAGGCCGTCCTCAGCAGCCAAGTCCTGCCACTCACCTCAACGCAAGTATCCATGCATAAGCCAAGGCTGACGGGGCAGGGCCAGTACAGCAGCAGCTGCCATACAACCTACAGACTTGGGAAAAGCTGCTGTTTTAAGCCTCCAAGTTCCAGTGAGGGTATTAGGCAGTCATCACTAACAGATAAGATAGGTGACCATCTTATCATTTTATCTGCTTGATACTTACGCAAGGATTTTCTTGGCTTTACAATTAAGTCATCTGGTTCTTTAGGTCTTCCATTCTCACAACCGACGGTTGCACTTACAGACTCAAGTCTTTTCTCAGTGGGGAAGAATCTCTGTCCTTTATCATTAATTATTGTTTGTGAACTGGGCCCTTCTTCAGAAAACTCAGTTACCTGTGTTGGGTGCATTTACTCCAGCCACCCACCTACATAGTGACCTGAAAACCTATTAGCTCTGAGTGGGCCCCCAAATAAAGATTCTGCCATGGGTCCAGGCTGCTGTGCAGGCTGCTGGGCCACCTGGACCATGAGACAGCAGATGCAATGCTATCTGATGTGTTGGTGGCAGACAAGGTTGTGTGTGGAGCCTTGACAGACCCCTATACAGCAGGGACGTGGGGTTTGGATCCAGGTCCTGCCCCCATCTGCAGGAAACCACTCTCCTTTAGAGACTGCTCTTGGCCTACTACTGAGCCTCAGTGGAAACTGACCACAGGACCATCAGCTTACCATGTGACCTGAGCTGCCCATCAGCAACTGGGTGCTATCTGACTCACAAAGCAGTGGAGTTGGGGTGCTCAGCAGTAACTCATTATCCCATGGAAGTGGGAGATACGTGACCCGCACAAGTAGTTATATGAAGAAGTGGCTCAAATGCCACTGCAAAGTTCCTACTCCTGCTGCACTGCTGCCTTCTTTGTCTTCACCTATGCCTCACAGGGAGTCCCCTGTGAGTTGACAGGGGAAGAGGTGGCTAGGGCCTGGTTTACAGACGGCTCTGTGTGACACACAGGCACCAACTGAAGTGGACAGCTATAGCTGTACCCTTTCTGGGACATCCCTGAAAGACAGTGATGAAGGGAAATTGTTCCAGCGGAAAGAACTTCAGGCGACGTACCTAGTTGGGCACTGTGCATGGTCAGAAAAAATGGCCACATTCCAACTCAGGCTGCAGCCAGAGGCATAGGCCGTAGTCAGTAGCTGGAATGATTGGAAGATGAAGAAACTCACTTCACAGCCAGAGAAGTGCGGCAGTCAGCCCAGCCTCACAGAACTCACTGGTCCTGCCACACCGCCCACCATCCTGAGGCAGCTGGCTGATAGAATGGGGGACTGGTCCTTTGAAGATGCACTTACAGCTCCAGAGCAGTGGTACTTCCTCACCTTACAGGGCCAGGCAAGGTTCTCCAGGAGGCTGTGTGTGCTCTAGATCAGGACACTGTGTACACTGCTGTTTCTCCCCAGCCAGGACTCAGGGGTCCAGGAATCAAGGGGTGGACATGGGAGTGGTAGCACTCCCCATTCACCCTAGAAACTCACTAGCAAATTTTTTGGTTTCTGTTCTCATGACTTCATGGTCTGCTGGCCTAAATGTCTTAGCTCCAGAGAGGCGATGCTTCCACCAGGGCACACAGGATTCCACTGAGCTGGAAGTCAGGGCTTCCTCCTGGCCACTTGGGCTCCTCACGCATCTGAGTCAACAGGCAGAGAAAGGAGTTCCAGTGCTAGCTGATCTGACCACCATAGGGAAACCAGACTTCTGCTCCACAATGGAGAGTTATGTCTGGAATGCAGGAGATCCCTGAAGGCTTCTCTTGGTATTATCATGCCTTTTATTTATTTATTTACTTTTGATTAAATTCTTCAGGATACAGCATCACACAAATTCTGTGTCTCACAGCTTTGCTCCCATGGCACAAGTTATCTTTCCCCAGGTTACTCTGGTTTTGTTTGGTTCGCCGTCAGGAGTTGCTGTGCTTTTTCCTTTGTTACACATAAGCACATCTCTTGCCCAGGTAGAATCTGGTTTTATCTTGGGTGTGAACACCTGTAATTTTAAGAGTTATGGGCTCCCTTTGGTTCTGAAGGCCCTGCTGATAGCCAGCAAAAATGGCCTTGCAGCATAGACCTGCAGACTTATTTGCCTCTGGAGTCCTGCTCCTGCAGGCTTCTTCAGTCACAGGAGCCAAATCCCCTAATACCTTTGGTCTCTTATTGGTTCTGTCCTGGTACATGGACTGCACATTCTCCTGCCTGTGTCATCTGTCACCTTTGTAACTCCATCCCCTGCTCCTTACGACGCCAACTCGAGTTAGTGCTGCACATCTGGGCTTGTACTAGACATACACGGCGTAGATGAGTCTGCATTACGTGGCTACACTACTTGCCTGCTCTTCATTGCTACCCAGGGCTGACTCTAATTCTACTTTCCAATCCCCTCTATTTGATGCAGTTTTTAAAGCTTCCTTCCAGCTAGCTTCTTTTTCCCACACATGCTCATAACCTATGGGAAAATCCAGAGTTCCTTTCATTCTTACAGTAGTATTTTTCAGTGCACTGCTCTTCCTCTGAACTTTGAATGTGGCCTTTCTTTCCTTTATCCTACCTGTTCTCTTCACAGGCCCCTGAATGGGAAACCAGGCCAAGCCTGATGTGGCCAGCAAGAAGGAAGTGTGCATTGCCCTGGCTCCCCCCAGGGTCCACTGCTCTAAACCCTCCCCCCACACTCTCCTACCAAGGCTGCCAACAGGCACAGCCTCCACAAGTCTCTAGACCCTGCCTCCTACCTGCCTCCTATCACAGGTTGATTCCTGGACAGCCAGGGCAGCTGGGATTCTTTCCTTACCAAAATCAAGGAAGACCACAACTCCAGAGCTACCTGCCTGCAGGACTGACGTGCTGTTTGTCTCTCAGCCACTGTCCATGGCTGACAGCTATGGTTCTTGGGCTGGGATGAGGCAGGTATGAAGGGAAAGAAGAGGCTGTGGCTGCTTGAAAAGCCACACCGTCACTCCTTCCTTGCAGTGCCAGTCTGTGTCCTGGAGGGTCCTCCGGAAGCATCTGTAATTTACTCCCACAACCTAAGCACAGAGAATACTCATCAGATGAGAAACTGAACTCCAAGGGAGTAGAGGGAGCAACACACTCACGTTAGCTCATTGAACCTTCATAAACCTCAGGGAGTGTCACCTGGAGGTCATCTGCAGTTCATGATGGGGGGCAGGGGCACCCCAACCTCCTGGTCTGTCAGAGCTGGCCTGGGGCATGAGAGGCTCCGTTCTTCCTGGATCCCTCTTCCTACTTAGCACTGCTACAGCTGGGTCTGGCACAGCCCTAAAGGCTTGGTCCACAGAGGGCTGCTATTGGGAAGTGGTAGAGCCTTGCAGGAAGTCATTTAGGTCAAGTGGATTGTGGGACCTCCTCAGTCCTTCCTTGTCCTCTTTTCTTCTGGCCAGGAGAGGGGCAGTTTTTCTCATCATGGGCTCCTGCCGTGATGTGCTATCTGGCCACAGGCCGAAAGCAATAGGGTAAGTCATGTCTTTTTGAGCCAATCATCTCAGGCATTTGTCACAGTAACAGAAGGCTAACTGACACCACACTAACTTCACAGGACAAGGCCCAGATCCAGCAGGGACCAGGCCCCAGGTCTTCTGAGTTCCTCCTGAACTCAGGCTCTGCAAACACATTGCATTTCTGCAATGAGGAAAATGCCCCAATTTCTCCCATCAGGGTGTATGCAACACACAGGACCTCCAAACCTTGATACACAAAGGAAACCAAGTTTAATCAAGGAGTTAGAAAATGTAGGATGTCCTTAAGCCACCACCACTACACAGTAAACAAACCATCTAGAAAATGCAGTCATCTAATCATTCAGTAACTAGAAAGTAGGAATAAACAGGAAATAAGCGTTTCTCAACTTCATCATTTCAAATTCTTCGTCACACAAATTCTTCGTCACATGTGCAGCTTAGACTGTGATCTGTGAGGCACTGTGGCTACATGGAGTTCACGATTCAAGTCAAAGCCAGGGATGACCCTGAGTGCACAAGAGTGGTGACACTCCGCCAGCTTGCCTCACAAGGAGTCAGATAGGACTGAGGAAAGGACACACAACTTTCTGTTTCATTTTGAGCAAATACATAACTTTGTTACCTTGTCAATTTTCATCTGCAAAACAAACTAAAAAAACTATAGATCTCATAAAATATCTTGGAACTTTCCACCTATTAAGAATCATCAACTTTCCAGCCAAATGTGGTGGCTCATGCCTTTAATCTCAGCTACTTGAGATAGGAAGGAAAGTGATTTGAGGGCCACCCAGGGGGAAAAAAGTTAGCAAGACCCCATGTCAGAGAACAAGCTGTGTGTGGTGGGGTACATCTGAAATTCCAGCTACATGGGTAACTTAGGCAGGAGGATCATGGTCTAAGGCCTCACTTGGCAAAAAAGTGAGAGACCCTATCCAGAAAAATAAGTAAAAAGCAAAAAGGGCTTCAGACATGGCTCAAGTGGTGGAGAACTTACTAGGAAAGGACAAGGTCCTGACTTCAAACCCCAGTGCCACCAAAAAAGACAAAAGGATCAGCAGCCTTCAGACATTAGGCAGAATTTCTGCACCTAACTATACTTTGTCATACTAATACAATCTGTTGAAGTCTGTAGTTTTTCAAAAATGTAACTATATTACCTTTAAAATTCAAATGAAAATACTCCCACCTAGTGGATAAATGAAAAATGTCTGGCTTATTTCAGTTATGAACCGTATCACCATAAAGAAGGAATTAAGATTATAATTAATTGTATAAGTTTATTCTGTTTTATCACCCTGAAAATATAGCCCCCAGCCACCAGTAATAAACAAAACAGTGCCCCTGCCCCCTTAAAGGAATGAATGCACAGGCAGCAGACAGCACATCACAGCCTTTGGGTCAAGTGTAAATGTTGCTCTGAGTCTCATTTGTTGTCATCAATTTCTTCAGTATCTCTGTGCTTCGAGGAAGGTTCTGGAAGGAGAAGAAAAGGTGTCAAGATTTCAGTTAAAGGCACTGTGCACTCAGCCCACACACTCTAGAAACAAGATGAGCAGAGAAGACGGCCCCAAGCGGCAAAGGCCACCTTCACCGCCTCGCTCACAGGAAAAGGGGAGGTGGTCACACAGCTCAGCCAGCCCTCCCTTGCCCAAACCCAGATTAGTCAGAGGGACTTCTCAAGCAGTACCAACATCTGCCCACAGACATGTGGACGTGTCTGCACTGCGTCAATCTATATAGAGAACAAACAGTCGCCACGTGTAGGGTACCATCTAAAGGAGAGGGTGACCGTCAAATTGGAACCGCCAGGCTGGGAAGCTGACTTGAGAAGAACGAAAGGCTCTCTAAAATGCTGACCACACCCCAAACATCTGCGTGCGTTAGGTTTGTTAGGACAGCTTGGTCACCCGTTCAAATGAGCTCATGCCTTACCTTAACCAAACCCCTCAAGCTTCTGGAGGACAGGATGGGCTTAAAAGCTTCCACCGTAATGAGGTCCAGTTTCATCATATCAGTGTAGCACAAGTACAGAATTGCAGGGATTTTCCATACCTGACAGTAACTCAGAACTACAAACACGCAACGAGAAGACACTTCAGTTTCCTATTAAAGGATTTCTGAATTAGACGCCTTTAAATAACATGAGCAATTTTAACTAGATGAAAGATTAAAATCTTACTAACTATAATAAACAAAATGAATTACATGTAAATAGCAAGTGACTATTTAGTCACTTCTCATTCTACTAAACTTAACATGAAAGACCAAATAAACACCTTTTTATGCTAGACCTAGTGGTACACACCTATAATCCCAGCACTCGGAATCCGAGGCAAGAGGATCTTGAGGCCAGGCTAGCCTACATAAATTCCCAGCCCAGCCCCAGCAACATAGCAAGACCTGCCTCAAAAAAACACAAAACAAATAAACAAAAAACCTCAACTTTTTAAACAGTGCATTTAACATACAAATTATAAAAGATAAACTACTGAAAATAAATGATAATCTATTTCTGACATGACAGCAATGTATAATTAGTGACATAACAGAAACATAAAAACAAATACTAAAGCAACCATCAAGTTTCAACACACAAAACTTTCTATCTTGATAATTTAGATGTATGTGACCAACTTTTTTTATATAAACAATTTACATCTAATACTGGCTTGCATTTTGAGTTACTGCAGACCAAAAAGAAATAGCAAGCTTGAAGCAGGACAGTTAGGAGAGCAGAGCTGCTCACATAAGATCGCTGCTCCAGAAAACTGAAACTCAAATCAAGTTCTTGTACATGTAACTACAGGCGGGAGTGTTCCTTAGCCCAAACACAGCAGTATATTGGCATCAGTGACCATTACCCCCTACCTCAAAGAAATCTCTAACAATAAACTAACAGTCATCAGTAAAGCTACAAGCTAAAATGCCAGTGTCACACACTCTAATCCCACCTGCTGCAGGAAGATCGTGGACAATGTTTGGCTGTTCCAGCAGTGAGCAGCAAGCAGGATCTTGGAAATTCTGTGTTTTTAGGGCTCTCAGGAAAGGAGAAGGAAGGCTGCCAGTAGATTCTGAGGTTTTATAGTCGGTGACATGTCGACATGTGAGAATAGTTATCTGCATGTTCTTCTTTGGATGAGGACCAAAAACCTGACACAAAATTCATTTCAAGTTAAACAAACATAATTTGGGAGGGCCAGGTATAGTGGCACATGCCTGCAAATCCCAGCTACACAGGAGATGGGAGATGGAAGGATCGCAGTTCGAGGCCAGCCTCAAAAGGTAGAGCACCTGCCTAGCAAGTGTGAGGCCCTGAGTTCAAACCCCACTGCCAGAAAAAAAAAAGCAAAGCAGTGGCTATTATTTGAACTAAAAACTAAGAAAGATAATACTGCTCCCAGACTTCCTGTCATAATTGGAAGGGTCAGATGTCAGGACCACCTGGCTGATGTGACCCACGGAGCAGTGCTGACCAGGCATCCTTGCAACTCTAGTCAGTGTGTTCATTTACTCTACAGGACAAAAGCAGCCAAGTGTTCTTTTGACATAACCAATCACCCAGCCTAATTGAAAAATACAATTAAGATAGTCATTTCCTAACATTCTAACCTTTTCCCCCAGAAAAAAAGATATATGTACTCTAAATATAAAATCACCTAAGGATAAGATGGTTTACATGTCTTTCCAAATAACTCCTCATTTAATGAAATGCAAATTTTTAGTAAATGTTGCTAACTAAGCCAACTGGTTTAAAATAGGTATACACCGAATTTCTTACTTGTGGCAGATTTGCCTTTAATACCAGTTACAACACAGCTGAGGCTTAGCTGCAGCGTTGCTGGGAAGCAGGGAAGGCCTCGGACATGCTCCATTTACAACACAGTGGGAGCAAAACTGACAAACGCCTGAGCGATCACCGGCACACACAGTGCACGGGTATGAAAGCGCTACTGACGCCATGAAAACAAATCACCCTGTGTCTATTAAACAATCAAAACAAACGCTGAAACATACACGCAGCTGGAGTGTTCCTTAGCCCAAACACAGTCTGAAATGTTCCCAAATCCACAACTTTTTGAGTGTCTACCACAAGTGGAAAAGTTCATACCATCAAATTTTGTTTCATGCACAAAATTATTTCAAATATTGTATAAAGTTACCTTCAGGCTAGAAACATAGGTGGATGTGTTTAAACTTAGGTTCTATCCCCAAGATACATCATTATGTATGTGCAATTACTCCAAAATCCCCCAAAAAACTGAAATTTAAGATACCTCTGGTCCCAGGCCATTTCAGATAAAGGATACTCAACCTCTAACACAACTGCCAAAATCATGGTTTTTCTCTGAAATTCCTAGTTGAATTCAATTCTTCACTCAAAAAATAGTTTTACTGGAGACATCCTAAGTACACGATTTCCCAGCAGAACGAAGAGTCAATCTACTCATGCCTAAGGCTAAGGAAAATGAGTGCTATTCTGAGGCTGAAGGGGGTGGCTGCTGACGCCTTTCCACACCCCTGCTCCCTGTGGGTTTGCCGCTGCACAGCATACTTTAGTGCTCCTCCCGTGACCTATGTCCCTTACCTCAATCCAAATTACTGTATTAGATTAGCCAAGTTAAATTATTTTATTTTCTATGTTCTATAACAAAGCAATACTTTTACAGGAAAAATATCCCAATTTTTCCTGAGTAACATTTGACTGCTCAGGCCTAATAGCAACTGGAAACGGCAGCTCCTGCAGTCCAGCCCTCCGCAGGTTTTACCTCTCACCTTTTCCAGCCACTGGTGTTGCTGATCTTCGGCCACATAGCAGCTGCACTGACAAAGGAGAACCTGGCAAGTCAAACACCAACATTTTTACCAAGTCAAACTATACGCACGCTCCAAAGTGTCACCTATAGGTGTCACGTGAACAGTGATTGACTTAACACTGCTACAGTCTGGATCTGCAGTGTTCCCCACAGGCTCATATGTTTCTAAGTTTTCATCCACCCTCCCCAATAGTGCCAAGCACTCTCATTAGAGAGGTGCCCTTGAAGGAACTTGTCTTTTCTTCCTCCCCACGTTGCTTCCTGCCCACTATCCCACGCACTCCAGTCTAAAACCAATGGGTCTGCTCATTCGTGGGCTGGAACCTCTGAAACTGTGGGCCAAAATAAACCTTTTCTCTTTATAACTTGCTGTTATAGCAGCAAAGATGATTCACACAAACACTTAGAATACTTATTTTCATGACTCTGCTACTGGCCTATTCATTTTTCTTTAAAATGTAAGAGTTAATCCATTAGTGGAAATTGATATCAGAATAAAGAACACGTAAAGAGAGCAACTGAGAGCCTTGGTATAAGAGACAGTGAGGTATACTACCAGTAAACATTCTATGAACGGAGCTAAACTCCCACATACCGAGGGGTCTGATTTGAGTTGATAAAACACACAGAAAGCCTCTGTGGGGGACAGGTGCACAGTGTCTGTCGTTCTGCACCATTCATTCCAGAGCTTAGTACAACCAACTTCTTCCCAGACTCCTGAGTTCATAACAAATGATGACAAAAACGCTGTGGGAAACAGTTCAAAGAAGTTAGTGCTTGGTTCTGAAAATACATTTCTTATTCATAAAAAGCAAGCTCAAGTTACTCTAGAATTTCACGCTAAATTCTGAGCCATTTGAGACTATCTAAACCTACCACTTTCCAGGGAAGGAAACTGAGGCCAGCCACACCCTGAGTAAGACAGTATTAACAGCCAGGGGGTGGAAGACAGGCTTCAAAAGACCATCCCTCAACTCTGCCAAAAAACTTTAGGCCAGTCGAACTTCATAAAATGAGTGAAGTTATTATGTACTAACATTCTGCAAGAACTATGGGTACCTTACAAGACAGGGGATCTTAAATGGGGCTCCAAGATGCTTTCTTCAGAGCCTACAAATTCCTTATAAAGGTCCACATGTGTACTTGTACGCAGACACCGTTCTATCTTTGGAGAATTGATACCTACAAAGAAGGCAGAACTGAAGGGCTCAAAAATGTCAGCAATCACTGGAGGCATGGCTCAATGGTAGAGAGCTTGCCTGGCATGTGTGAGGCCCTGGGTTCAATTCCTAGTGCCGTCAAAATAAATAAATAAATAAACAAATAAATAAGCAATTATTGTTAAGAGTTCTCATTTTCTCAAAAACACCTAAGTAAATCTGAACACCTTAACACAACAGAAATGTTCCTTGAACTATAATTTCCTGAAGATGAAAATAATTTCCTTTAAACGTTATTGTTTACTTTTAAAAGATGGGGACTGGAGTGAGGCTCAAGTGACAAGAGCGCCTGCCTAGCAAGCAAGGCCCTGAGTTCAAACCCCAGTACCACCCTCCCCAAAAGAGGGAGGGGAAGGGTCAAAAGATGGGAGAAGTGAACAGACAAATACACTGCACTCAGAAACGAGGTTACTCAACCATGACTTTTTCTTAAGTAACCCACACGTGAAATCTATGGGCACTTCAAATCTTGTGCTTTCAACAAAACGTCTACTTTTCTGCATTTTTCACTTACCTACTGCATTACTTCCTATAGCGATTATAAACTTGGAACAAGGATGTTTTTCTAGCAGAGAAACTTTCAGGGATGTTTTTGTTTGTCTTCGAAGAAGGTGCACCTCCCTAACACAAGAAACACGAGGCTGAAAAACTTAGACCCAGTGAGTGTCCACGAGCAACGGGCACCCTACCACGGGGCCGGCGCCCCAGGAATGGGCACCGCGCGCTCGGGCTCTGTAAGGACGGAATTACGATCGCCACCAACCAAAGGGTCAGGCAGGGACGCCCAGAGGAAGGGCTGCCGGGGCTTCACGCTGCGTCCTGGCCGCGGCCGCCCTGGGCGTCCCTGAGGCGCTCGGCAGGGCTCGGCTTCACCGATGCGGGGCGGCCTCCAGGGCAGGCCGGGGACCAAGCGCTGATCGACCGCAGCAGGAAGCCACCTGCCAGCCAGAGCTCTCCGCGGGTGCCCGCCGAGGCCTTGGGGGGCTGATCGGCACAAACCAGGTAAGCCTGGCATTGGGAAATTAGTGGTAACAGCCCACGTTCCTTAAAAAAGCCTGAGTCGAGAGGCGCACCCCGGAACACGCAGAAGTGAAGGGCCGTCAGAGGCGCGCTCGGTGGAGGGGAACCCGGGCGAAATCGCCTCCCCGCTGAGGTTCGCGATTCGCGGCCGTTCGGGGCACGTTTCGGGTTATAGATCCGCCTGCCGCTCACAGAGCGCCACCCGACGCGCGGGGCGGCCGCGGACAGCCGCGTGCGCCCCCGGGACTCCCAGCCGCAACGGCCTCCGCCCGAGCGCCGCCCGGGACCGCGACCGCGACCGCGGGGCGGAGGCTTCCCGCTGCCTGACCTCTTCCGCGCCAGCTGCCGCCGGACCTCCCGGTCGTCCGGCGTGTCCCTTCTTCCCTCCTCTTCCTCTTCGTCCTCGGTCCCGGCTCGGCAAGGTGCCTTCACCACCTCTCCGAAGAACGTGGCCGCCATGGCCACCCGGACACCCGCACT